ATTTTTACCTTAATTCAGAGGTAAAAATCCTTTAACGCTCAGCTCCCCTCACCGCTCTAAATACTTGAGCCTGCGTTCAGTGCATTGCTATGCTCGGGCAGCAGTTCTCACCTGTCTCCCTCCTCTCAGGGCATAGAAGCAGTAGTGGAAGCCATTGGCTCAGTCCAATTCTGTGATGAGGAAGGAGAGGGTCTGTCTTTAGACACAAGCAAGCAGCTTGGCTTAGGATTGAACCTGCACAAGTGCCCCCAGAGCAAGCCACTGGAGGCACTCGCTAAAGAGGAGGAGCCTGGAGTGCTGGTGGGTGACCTTAGAAAAGGAGGATCAGGAATGCTCTGTGCTAAACCATTGCACAGAGCAGGCAAGTATAACATACTTATGAAAAATAACCTTTAGAATCAATTTAAACCCAAAGCCAAAAATGTAATATATTGCAGCTTACCAACCCTTAGAAAAAAGAAAAATGTATGCACCCACCACATCTGTTACCTGTCAATCCTGCGAATAACAAGGCTCATTTGCTGCACTTTATCAAGGGAGCTGCATGATGACCCTGGGCTGCTCACCAGGTTTGGACTACAAACATGTCTTCCTCGTCATCTTCACTACATCAAGGAGCCAGAAATTTAGTATTTTATAGAAGGCAGACAACATTCTTTGTAATTTTCGTATAATTCACAGGAAATGACAAGGACACTGCGTTTCTGGCAAGATCTACAGTTTTCTGTACTTGCTGGAAATGTTAGTATGAACAGTGAAAACAAATGGCCATCCTCACATCTGAGAAATGGTAAACTGCAATATAGATACACTTTTTTTTTTCTTGGATTTTCAGTGATACTAAAACTTCCATTTTTTAAAAAAGATAAAAAACATGTTATACTTACCAGCTCTGTGCAATCATTTTGCACAGGGTAGCCCATATCCTTTCTATATCTTTTCTTGGGTCAAACCCAACCCCCCACCGGAAGTTGCTTCTTATGGGGGGCACTTTGTACGTGCTTTCTCCCGAAGCGGGCTGTTTGTGCCTATTCAGAAACCCAGCAGCCCGGCTCAGCCCCGCTCCTGCTCTGTTCACAGGTTTTTTACTGACCGCAGCGCGAGCCAATGGTGCACAGCACTGGACCAAGATCAGGCTCAGGTGAGTATTTAGGGGGAATGCGGGAGTTGCATAAAAGTTTTTGTTTTTTACACCTTTAACCACCTTTTACCTTTTGCCCTCCTGAGGATTTACCCCCCTTCCTGACCAGGCCATTTTTTGCGATACAGCATTGTTACTTTAACAATTGCGCGGTCATGCAATGCTGCACCCAAATGAAATTTACATTCTTTTTTTTTTCCCACAAATAGAGCTTTCTTTCTTTCTAGAGATTTCTTATCACCTGTACATTTTTATTTTTTGCGCTATAAACAAACTGACAACTTTGCAAAAAAAACAATATTTTTGACTGTTAAACATGTTCAGTAAAAAAATTTAAAAAAATCAAATTTCGTCATTAAGTTTAGGCCAAAATGTATTCTGCTACATGTCTTTGCTAAAAAAAAAACAATCCCAATACATGTAACTTAATTGGTTTACGTGAAAGTTATTGAGTTTACAAATGGCGGTATAGATAACTGTATTTTTTTTTTTTTCTAGTAGTAATGGCGGCGATCAGCAACTTATTGCGGGACTGCAGTGGGCATTCTGACACTGGGGGGGAAATTAACTTGGCGTCACTGACATCCCCAGTGACACCAATACAGTGATCAGTACTAATAAAAAGCACTGATACTATACTAATGGCAGTGGGCAGGAAGGGGTTAACATGAGGGGCGATCAAAGGGTTAACTGCGCATGTGTGTGTTTTTACTATGTGGGCTGTGTGTGCGCTTCACTGTAGAGGGACTAAGGGAGCCAACTGGAGAGATCGGTATTGTTTACATACAGGTCTCTCCCCCGTTGGAAATACTCGATCATCGGGTGCCGGTGAGTAATCACGGGTGGCGCACATACCCGTAAATGAAAAAAAATCATATGATTTTTGCACACCCCTACCGCCCTGTAGCAAAAAAAGGGGCTCATAACCACCTGAAATGCATGTTAAAACTGCATTGCAGCAAGAATGAAAACACATGCCTGCACATTGACATGTGTGCTATGGTAAGCCGTAAGTGTTGGTGTAATCTGGCATTTAGGGTCATGAGTGATATAATTCACAATGTCCTGCACCAGACTGCTGTGAAAACATCCCTTTGTAGTTCCCAGTCCCTTGTCTAGTCCATGTTCTGAGGAATGTGTGCTAACCTTGCATTCCCCAAACAGCTTGGACCTTGAGACTGAAGGCTCTGTATTCAACCTTCATTTCCTAAGTGTTTACATATGAAGAAGATGATGATTACATATGAGTGGGTTTTTTTATACTTTGCAATGCTTTTAAGCAACTGTGTGTGGAAATCCTTGGCTTCCTGCTTTTAGAATTGAAAAGCCTTTTCCTCATTTAGTTGCAGTTCTTTCTGCACAGTCACTGTGAGTAAGGAGGAGGTTTTCGTTTGCTTATTCATTGTTCTTGTATCTCTAGGTCCACACCTAATTCTTCCAGGTTGTCTCAGGGAAAATCTCAGCTGTGGAAATGATCAGAGTTCAATCTCCTATTCTACAAAAAATAAAACTACACTTATGGTCTTAATTATGAAAAACATATAAGGATCTTGCACAAATACAGGATATATCTATATGATTATTTACATCTTAAATCTCAGAAGTCTTTGGTAGAGCCTATGACCAGGCATTATCTGCATTGTGCATAGCCCTTGTTCACATGACAAACTTGGGTGCATTTGGTGGTGCTGTCTGTCAACTTGACTTGTCATGGTAAAATTGATGCTACTCAAACCATCATGACTGCTGCATGTGAACAGTCCCCTCTGCTGTATTGTAGGCTTTAGGTGGGTGGTCATGGGCTATAAATCTGCAGCTCAACTACCTATTTACTGCCCCCCTGGCGGCCTGTATGAAAGACACCTTAGTCTTGTTACTTGTCATAAGATAGTTTGCCATATACAAGTTGGCAAAATGTAACACAGAACTCCAGCAAATAAAAAAAAAAAAAAAAGTCTATTAAAAGATCAAATAAACATTTACTGCAATATCTGGAGCTGCTGACTGCAGTACTTATTTTCTGCAGTCCGTCTTCCTGGTTTAATGATAGCCAGGATCAATCACTCCACTTATACAAAGGCAGGCCATATGTTATGACATTTTTTTCCTTTGACCAGGGGATGAAGGGGAGAAAATTGCTCAATTTCCCCCTTCACAATGATCGCTGTTGGCGACTACAGCTGCTGGCAGTGATCAAATGGGGAAAAAAAAACTCACAGGTTGGTTGTACTGAAGTTGATTGACATCAGTACAACCAGTCTGCCCAAAGATGGGTTAAAATTTGGCCAGTTGCTGCTGAATTCTGATCTCCGTATGGATAGCTTAAAGCGGAGCTACACCCAAAAGGGGAAGTTCCGCTTTAAGGACTTCTCCCCCGCTCCCCATGGGAAGGGGGGGGAACGGGTCCCCTAATTTGACAGGTACCTTCTCCTACTTCCGGTCCGATCACCTAGGCCAGGGGTAGGCAAACTGCGGCTCACTAGCTGTTGAACTACATTTCCCATGAGGCATTGCAAAGATTACAAAACTGACAGTTACAGCTATGAGTTGCAGAGGCATGATGGAACTTGTAGTCCTGCGGCTCTCAAGTTGCCTACCCCTGGCCTAGGCGATCGGAAATGGAAGGTGTCCTCGCTCCCTGTAGTATTTTGGGACATGACAGGTCCCAGAAACTTCAGGACCATTCATGAAGCGCAGCGCTACTCACACATGCGCAGTGTGTACCCGGCTGTGAAGCCGCAAGCTATCACAGCCAGATGCCCACACTGAAGATGCCGGCCTCCTGGAATACAGGACGGCCTGTGAAATGGGCTGCAGGGGACACACCGTGGGACCGAGGGACAGGTAAGTGGCTGTTTTTTAAAAGTCAGCAGCTACAGTTTTTGTAGCTGCTGACTTTTATTTTTTGACAGGGTGAGTGGAACTCCGCTTTAAGATCAGGATGTCATGGACTTGTCCCCACCCTGTGACTGGACAGTAAAGTAGAAACAGCACAGTTCAATTGTCACTCTGCTTCTTTCTTCTATCAGAATGCTATATCACATGAATGGATTGTCTGCTTCTTTCTCTCCTACCCTGTAGAGCTATGCTTTGCAGCAGTGGTCTCCAAACTGCGGCCCTTTGCTTGCCTTTATCTGGCCCTTGGGGCACTATTCCTCCTACTGTCACCAACTATGGGGACATAAATTTTTGCCACTGACAAATAGTGGAGGACTATTCCTCCCACTGATACCAATGATGGGCACTCTTAAACCAACAGACACCTACAATGGGTCAGTATTCCTCCCACTCATTTGGCATGGTTTACTCCCACTGACACCAGGACTTTCTACTTCCACTGGCCACAGTCTGGCCCCCCATAAAGTGTGAACGGCAGTAAACGGGCCCTTTGTTCAGAAAGTTTGGAAACCCCTGCTAAACAGGAACTGTAAGAGGCTGATACCAAGTCAGTCAGGTACTTGCACTTTAAAAATAAGTTTTAGGATGGACAGAGCTGCATTACTTTGTTCTTTTATAACTAGTGTTCAGCTTAAACAGTCAGCGTCAGCTGTTTTCTGCCCCCCCTGAGGACAATCAGACTTCAGGTCCCTTTACCATGGGGGTACTAAGGCATCTACAGCCCACTTGTTCATGGCAGGCTTGGGTTTTAATGCACTTAAAATAGAAGAATTTTATCCTTTTGAGATGTACTGACTTGTACTTGGTGTGTGTTAGTCTCTTTGCAGTACTATTGTAATGAATGTGAGCAGGAAGCTAATTTAATTTCAAGAGTTATGCATGTTATTACTAAAAAATATTAGGATTGCATTTTAATACTGAATTTCTGCCGAGCATGATCGTTTTATATCTTTTCTTTTAGCAATTGAAGAATACAAGCCGCAAGATGCCACGACAAACCCATCTCTGATTTTGGCAGCAGCCCAGATGCCAGCATACAAACATCTGGTAGAAGATGCAATCCAGTATGGGAAGAAGCTTGGCGGGTAAATGCTGTAGATGTAATGCTAAGGGCCAGAATTTCTACATGCCTGTTAAAGCACAGCGTCACTTTTGGTTAATCTACTCTATAATATTACAGCCACTTACCATAAATTCAGCCTTGCCCCTTTAAGTATATAAAATGGATATGTGTAATCAGGTTTACCAGGGGTTATGTGAATATCAAAATGCCATGATGGATGGCGGTCAGTCTGGATGAGTGGGTGATCCCAGCCATGCTGCATTTGCATGCAGACTGCCCTAGTGTATTGCCCAAATGAGAAGCTCATGGTGCAACTAATTCAGAGTAAGCTATTTCACACAGTCGCATCCCTCCTTGTACATCACAGCCCTCTCCTTTTCTGGGAGTGCCTAATTACTCTGTGCTGACCCAGCTCCTCCTTGCCCTTCCTACATAATCTTTTATGTAGGTACTGGGGAAGGAGCAAAGGAAAATACGGAGTCTGCTGGGGCAGCTGACATCACTTCAAAGATGGCAGCACCCAGCACAATCTGTGGTCTTTTGGATGTATACAGAGGGGGCTTCTACAGATAAATAACATGCATAAAGTATATGTAAGCATTTTTGTACACATGAATGTTCTGGCAACTACCCTCTTTAACTCTCTTGGGCTTTTATTGTGTCCCCTTGTGGGAGAATGATCTTTGTCCTGGTGACTGTTGTGAAATTCAAAACTTTTAACATTTCAAAAATCTAGGATCTGGAATAGGGTGGAAACCATAAAATGGTGATACCAGTTTGGTAACAGTTGTCAAAGTTGATATTTCATCATGCTTTGAGAATTTCCTTCATCTCTGGGATAGTAAGTGGAGGGAAAGCACCTCATCAGGGGCAATGCAATACAAATATGGCAGAGGTGCTAATCCTTCTGTTCAAAAGTAGTAAAGTATTGTATAGCACTCCATTTTAATCCCCTACAAATGGTAAAATCCATCAGTTTTGTTTTTGTTACATCAAGTTTTATGCTAAAATTAGAAGCAGAGAATTGCATATGGACTTAAAACAATAGTGTTGATTTTCTCCATTTTCATTGTGGCAGTGCGCTATTTGCCGCTGTTGATGGCAGCTATATTTGAACAATGAATGCAATTCACTGTTGCCATGCAGGCAGTAGCAGAAGTTGTTATAGGAAAAATGTGCATTTTGGAGATGCGCCCTCTTGTAATCTACCTAGTATCCAAGGCTATTTCTTTGCTGGCCACACCATGAGTTCCATTTGAGGATTAGGTTGGTCATCTGCTATTTTTTGTAACTAAATCATATATATTTGCCTGTATGGTTTCTGTGTTAAAGATGGTAATACAAGCAAGTGCCCATACAGTGTAATTTATCATACGGTAAACATCTGACTTTTTTTAGTGCAGCAACATTTTGATATGAACCTTATCCATATAATGCCACCTAATATTTCCCCACTAGATCCAAAAGGTCCATCTTTGAATCAAGACCTCATATGAGCTGAGCAGGAAAGATATAGTCTTGTAGTTGTGGCCCAGGGACCAAATGCAGCATTTTGCTTGCCTTTTTACAGCCCTTGGGGCAGTAATCATCCCACTGACACCAACAGTGGGGTACCCTTTCTCTCACTGACACCAATGATGCTAGGACATTTTCTACTTCTACTGGCCACACTCCGGCCCTCCTAAAGTCTGAAGGACAGTAAATTTGGCCCTTTGTTTATAAAATCTGGAGACCCCTGCTCTATAGAGGGAGGAAAGGGTATCGGATTGCCTAAAGTAGGGCTTGTGCCACAAATGACAAGATAAAGGTAAAGCCCATGAGAAGATAAGTACCACCACCTTTCTGTTTAAATAGTTTGCGTTTCCAACAATTTACAGGTAAAAGAAAATGTGCATTCTCTGATAGTGTGTGTGTGTGTGTGTGTGTGTGTGTGTATATATAGATATAGATGTATGTATCTCACAGAAGTGAGTATACCCCTCACATTTTTGTAAATATTTTATTCTATCTTTTCATGTGACAACACTGAGGAAATTACACTTTTCTGCAATGTAAAGTAGTGAGTGTACAGTTTGTATAACAGTGTAAATTTGCTGTCCCCTCAAAATAACTCAACACACAGCCATTAATGTCTAAACTTCTGGCAACAAAAGTGAGTACACCCCTAAGTGAAAATGTCCAAATTGGGCCCAGTTAGCCATTTTCCCTCCCCGGTGTCATGTGACTCATTAGTGTTACAAGGTCTCCTGTGAATGTGGAGCAGGTGTTACATCTGGTGTTATCGCTCTCACTTTCTCATACTGGTTACTGGAAGTTCAATATGGCACCTCATGACAAAGAACTCTGAGGATATGAAAAAAAAGAATTGTTGCTCTACATAAAGATGGCCTAGGCTATAAGAAGATTGCCAAGACCCAGAAACTGAGCTGCAGCATGGTGGCCAAGACCATACAGCGGTTTAACAGGACAGGTTCCACTCAGAACAGGCCTCGCCCATGGTTGACCAAAGAAGTTGAGGGCATGTGCTCAGCGTCATATCCAGAGGTTGTCTTTTGGAAATAGACATATGAGTGCTGCCAGCATTGCTGCAGAGGTTGAAGGGGTAGGGGGGTCAGCCTGTCAGTGCTCAGACCATATGCCAAATGGTCTGCATGGCTGTGGTCCCAGAAGTAAGCCTCTTCTAAAGATGATGCATAAGAAAACCCGTAAACAGTTTGCTGAAGACAAGCAGACTAAGGACATGGGTTACTGGAACCATGTTCTGTGGTCTGATGAGACCAAGATAAACTGATTTGGTTCAGATGGTGTCAAGCGTGTGGTGGCAACCAGGTGAGTACAAAGACAAGTATGTTTTGCCTACAGTCAAGTATGGTGGTTGGAGTGTCATGGACTGGGGCTGCATGAGTGCTGCCGGCACTGGGGAGCTACAGTTCATTGAGGGAACTATGAATTCCAACATGTACTGTGACATACTGAAGCAGAACATTATCCCCTCCCTTCAGAGACTGGGCCGCAGGGCAGTATTCCAACATAACGACCCCAAACACACCCTCCAAGACTACCACTGCATGCCTTGCTAAAGACGCTGAGGGTAAAGGTGATGGACTGGCCTATTGAGCTTCTGTGAGGCATCCTCAAACAGAAGGTGGAGTGGTGCAAGGTCTCTAGCATCCACCAGCTCTGTGACGTCATGGAGGAGTGGAAGAGGACTCCAGTGACAATCTGAAGCTTTGGTGAACTCTATGCCCAAGAGCTTTTCCTGCATTTTTCAGTTTCAGTCCAGAGATTTCCTCTGCTGTACATTTTCCCCCTTTTACTAATGCTAGATGTTTTATGACCAGCATCATTCACCACACTTTTCTGAGCCCATGTTGTGCTGAACATGATCCAGCCTGTGACTGTACAGTGAGAGGAGAAGTGGCACAATTATCAGTTCATCTAACTGTTTCCCATCTATCAGTATGCTACTTGTCAGCACAGGATGAGCTGATTGGCTCCTTATGCTGCTTCCTCCTCTCACATTTTATTTCTGCTATACAGGGTCTACAAAAGGTTGATACTAGGTCATATTCATGTACGTGCACTGCTTGAATGTAAAAAAAATACTTAATGGTGTATTTTAAGTACAGAGCTGCATCAGCTTATCTTTATCTGGCTAGAGTTTGGTTTCAACAGAGTTTTCCCTTTTAGGTCTGAACAGGAGCAGATCAACAACGTCATGGACAAGCTTTTTGTGTCATTCGGAAAGGAAATCCTGAAAGTGGTTCCTGGTCGGGTTTCCACAGAGGTGGATGCCAGGTGAGGTTTTATAACTCATCCAAAGGGTTGCCACTTCCTGTTTAATGCACTTGATCTATAACATGCATTCTGTATTGCTGTGAGAAATTAGGAGCTTTAGACAGAAAACAATTCATGAATAAAAGCTGCCATATTTTTTTTTTTTGTAGTAGTAGTTTGAAGTACAGAGTAGTATTCTATCCCTCACTGACCTTTTATAAAACTTGATCTGAAACTTTTTTTTTCCTTTAGCAGTACAGTCTTCTATTTACTTGTGTTGTCTGTTTGACAGGCTTGTCAGTCTATAAGACCATCTTGCCTGAGCTCATTTCTAAAGCATTAAAACTGTTTAATAGCAAAGTTGCTGTCAGGATTGCATCAAAGAAAAAGTATTTGTTTGACAGTTTTGCCCCCTTCAGCATCCTATGGTGTGGCAGTTCTGAGTCCTGATCTCAGGCGGTACATAGGTTGGCCTTCGTGGGGGACTTACAGCTTGACATGGAGAAAACAAGTGAACAAATACTTCTCTAAGAAATGAAGCTGCACTATTACAAGGGTTAAATTGAATCTCACCACGAGGTCACTTTTACCCAATAGCAGACCTGAAAAGGCATAGATATACCGTGCTTAACTTTCCAGAAGCTGGTGAATTAGAAAGCTGCCGCTTCTCCAATTCCCAGCCGCTGCATGTATTTTACATTTTCATGTGTAGACGGTTTGCTCCCCCTCCAGCCACTGTAATTCAGTCTGCCAGCACTTATGTAACTACAGGATATACTAACTAGTTGAAAGGACTACAATGGCTAGTGAGGGGTGGCTAGTGAGGGGAGCAAGTATTCAACCCATATGGTCAGATACATACAGTGGCTGGGGAGCAGAGGCTTTTCAATGCACAGTTCCAGAGGAAGGGTAACTATATGCATGCTTCCTTTACAGGTGGGCTACTTGATAAGTGACCAGGGTCAATTTAAGATTGGATATTCTGGTTCTTACAAATGTCCATTCTTGACTGGTTCTCTTTAAGCTAAGATCACAGTAGCTAACGGTGATATACTGTACTTGTACTTGTAAGAGGTTCAGGCACCTATCAAAATAGAATGTAATTGAGTTCTTGTCCTAGGGTGGTGATGTGCATTGCAATAAAAGAACATTCTAAGATTGGAGCATCGCTTGCAGCAGTTAAGGTGTGACGTTAACCACAATTAGCATGTCCACAAATGTTCTTTGCTGCATGTACCCATTTTCTAACATTAGCCAAAAATTTGAACTTGCACAGATTTTTTATTTTTTTTTATTTTGGTCACAGGTAGTCTCAGCTGAGTTGGGGTTAAGATAACAGCAGGTTTATTTGGGGTGTGAGTTGTTAGGACACACTTAGTGAGAGATGACAAGGCTGAGTTACAGTCTTCTTTCTATCAAATGTAAATACATTTGATCGCATCTAACTTTATACTAACCAACCTTTTCATATATCAGCAGCTTATGTCAAAGGTAACGTGTGCTTTGTATTTTATCTTGAGGTTTACGCAAATTCCTGTAATTTTTTTCTTTATACGATTTATAAAATGGTTTCTTTAAGAAGGAATACCTTCCAGCTCTGTAGTTGGGGCTCTAGCATCTACACCAGCATGTGCCTCACTGTTAGAAAGGCAGGTGATAATGCCTTGAGGGATACTGGAGTAAATGACAGGCTATTATAAAGATGGAAACTGCTATATGGGTCTTCAGAAATTAAAATACATGCTGGCTTCTCTCAGCACATTTGTTTAATCCCTTATGTCAGTTTGAATTGTGTAAGATGGCTGCATACTTTAAAGCTGAGTTTCAGGCAAACCACTGATTATAGTGATAACACATAGGGCTATTTTTACCTGTGAAATTATGTATTTGTCCATCCAGCCCTAATATGTTCACAGCTCTGAAACAAAGCACAGCCTTGTGTGGCAGGCCAGGAGACCTGGATTTTTCCCTGTGGCAGTAAAAGCAGAAATAAACTCTGAAATATACTCACCTCAAGCTTCCAATGATGCAGCGGTTAAATCCCTTGCTAACCACTGTCATTTTCTCCCTGGGTGCCGGGTTTTTAGCCTCCTGAATGTCTGGTGGGGGATAATGATGCAATTTGCACAGGAGTCAGTCATTCTGGTACAGTCAGAATGTGCAGTGAATACATTCTAAGCTGTGCACGTGCAGCTCATTGTAGATCCAATAGAAAACTGCAGGTAGGTGTTGTTGCAGCAGAGACATAGCATGCCTCTTCAATAAAGAGCTGCCTGCTTGCCGTTTTCTAAAAGTTAGGTTTAGTTCTACTTTAAGTAACACTAACCCCAGGTTCATACTACTGCTATGCGGGAAATGCAGTGAATCCTGTGCGCTTCCTGCACCGCATTGCAATCACGGCATCCATGCGATCTGGCATGGGTGGCAATGTTGAATTGACACCCCGAAACAGATTGCAAAATGCAGTGTGATTACCAGAATTCACATTTTTTTCCCCTTCTTACTAGTAATGGTGGCGATCTGCGGGACTGCAGCAGACATTCTGGCACTGGGGGGGAACCGACTTGGTGTCACTGACATCCCCAGTGACACCAATACAGTGGTCAGTGCTAAAATAAAAAAAAGCACTAACACTGGGCAGGAAGGGGTTAACATGAGCGACGATCAAAGGGTTAACTGTGCTGGGTGTTTTACACCCAGGGCAGTGTCTGTGTGCGTCAGTGTAAGCACACTGCTTTGGTTGTTTGTGCTGTGCTGTGCACAGTCATCCAAAGCAGTGTTCCTGAGCTGACGGAGGAGAACTGGTAGTAAACAAAACAATTCTCCTCCCCGTCGGAGATCCTCGGAAATCACCAGGCGCCGGTGAGTAATCAGTGATTGACCGCCACGGCTGCGAATGGCGTTGTGGGTAGGGCGTGCGCCCCCTACCTGGAAATGCAAAATCACGTGTATATACGTGATTTTGCGCACCCGTGCCGCCCTGTAGCAGTATTTCTGCTATAGGGCGGTCAGGAAGCAGTTAAATAAGGGACACCTGTTTGATATCTGTTTTTTCAGACTGAATGACCTCACTAATTGAACTTCACGCTATTGTTTGAACATGCCCCTTTCAATTGATTCAATTACTCAGAATCAGCAGCATGCATGTCATGACTGTTGGGTCTGTTAGTTTTCTATTACTCTACTACACCTGCTAGTAAATTTGCCATGTAGAAATAGAATTTATACCAAAAATAGTGGTAGATATAGTTAGTGATGTTTGACTGCTATTATTTTGAACACAACTGTACATAATGAATACAGAGCTGTATTAATGTCCCCCATATCTGCCTGGAGTTCTGTTTTAAACATAGACTAGCATGGACTGCTGATGTTCAGTTGCCACTCATGCTGAAGGCACGGTAATTTCATTAATTTAGTCTGTCATTGATGTCTGCTTCTTTAATAGGGAGATCTGAGAGTATTTGAATAATGTGATTGGATGATGGGATTTTGGATGGAGAATTCATGTTTAGTTCTATTATGGCAGTGTGGAGACTAATCTGTAACCATTGGAGTTTAGTGCATTTAAGCCAACTGAGCATTCGGGATAAGTTGACACATTTATGTCTTGGGTAAGGATTGTGGATAAATGTGGTGGTTGGATTTCTGTAAAGAGGATCTACTTTTAAGAACTATTCCATGTGTGATGAGATTAGTTTCCCAATGACTGCCATACTGAACTGTGGTAAATATGCAGAATTTGCATGTTGTGATTTACAAGATATGAAGCTTTTGGTTGTCCCACCCTTGGTTTGAGACTGATTATCCTGATTGTCATTTCAATTCATTTTAGCCATTTTAACAATTTTAACGTAACTGTCTATATTATGAACATAACACAACTTTCTAATTTCTGTTCTGTAGATTGTCTTTTGACAAAGATGGTATGATTGAACGTGCCAAGCGCATCATTGCACTGTACAAAGAAGCTGGTATTGACAAGGAAAGAATCTTAATCAAGTTGTCTTCAACCTGGGAGGGAATACAAGCTGGCAAGTAAGATTCTCCCGTCTTGGTATTTTCATCCCTTAGAGTGGAATGCTGGCTACTCAACTACATTTTGGCTTAGTGGACTTGGATACCTGAGCACTCTGTGCAATCTAGAAACACCAAGCTTTTCAGATCTCAGCAGTTCAGATAATTGCACTTGTGTCTTCTATAGGCTGCTTGTAGGCCTGACTTTATTGGCATCCCAAGGTGTGTGTAAATAGTCATACTATTATATAGTTGAAGCAGTATTCTACCAAAAAGCAAACATTCTATTGCAGCTTACCAATTCTTAGTTTTGATGTCTGCATTAGTTTACTTTTTAGGCTTTCTTGCCTTTTTCACCTGGTGATCTGACTGGGAAGTCTATTGTTTTTCAACAGAACAAGCTGTCCTGCAGCTGTAACAATTATAGGGAGACAAACCATTTACCACTGACTGGTGCAATGATTAGCTTTTATTTATGAAAAACCTTTTATCCCAAAATGAAAAAAAAAAAAGTTTGCTTTAACTGTTTTTATAAAGGATTAGCTGGAATTTGGCTTCAATTTGTTATTGTATTTAAATCTGCTAGTACATCTAACACTACACCACCCTCCCTCAGACTGACAATGCTACTGTGCCTCTGCTCCTTCATTCAGAGTGGAGGTACTGTAATAAAGGAGGTATGTTACTGGCCAGATTACCAGGTGAGAAAAGCCTAAAAAGTAAAACGAATCCAGCCACCACATCAGGGGATTAGTAAACTGCAATCTATTGCATTTTTAGTTTTAATATAATTTTTTATATGAAAGCCCAGCAGTTCTATAGAGAATAATTTTGTATAAAATAGCACATCAGTTTGTAAATTGTATTTAAAATTGACCAACGACCCTTATGCTTTCTCCTTAAAACTTTTAGAAGTGTGAAATATTGTTCATATCAGTTTATACCAATTTTTTTTTATTTTGTTTTCTTTTTTTTTTGCGTGTGGTTTGTAAAACATGACCTGCTTTGTGATGTAATTTTAACATTGTGCATTTCTTGATGGTATCTACACTTTAGAACCTAGAAGTGTGGTAAAATCTCCATAATGAGGCCTCCAACAATAAAAGCCTGACTAACCCTTTCCAGTGCCATTCCCAAACGTAAAAAACTGTTCTAGATGAAGTGACACTTTAAATGGCAAGTTTGGATTTTGGACTCTGCACAATGTTCTATTGCGTTGCATTGTGTTCACACACCAGCATTATTCTGCACATTGATAAGCATTGTACAAAAGAGGCAGAGGGCAAAGGACTAGTCATCAGCATTTCCTGTGTTACCCTTGCATCTCATATTTCCACTTTGACTTGCCATGCCTTGTTCTGCACTCTTTGTTGGGGTGGCTATCATGGTAGAGACAGGGTTTGCTTCCCTGTGTTAAAGCCTCCAGGAAGCGCAGCATGGCAAGTGACGTCACTAGATGGGACTCCAAAACCCCTGAGACTAGCCATTAGAGGCAACAGTGCTGGAGATCCCACACTGCATGACATCACAGGTGTGAGGGGAGCTTTAAATGCAAAGCAAAAGTGTGATGATAGCCTTGGTAATTGTCCCTTTTATAGGCCTCTACCCTCTCTTCACTGTATGCGCCTACCTATATTCTTACCTTAGGCCCTGCTACAGAGATCCTCACTGTGTAGCCCTGCCTGGCACAACACCGCCTTTATTGAAATATATGCTGTGGTTGTAATATAAATGGCTGGGTTGTGGAAATGAATAAAGTGAGCAGCCTGCAGAATGTAACGCCTGTGCACTGTTGGGCCACACAGTGAAGATAGGTGCTGACTTATTAGGTATGTGGGCCACACTGAGGTGGGTGAAGCGAAACTTTAATGATAGCCAAAGTCTTCCCATAACAAAGGTTTGGATTATAGCAAACAATACTACAGAATAGTCTTTATTAGGTAGTATGTGAAGGAGAGGCGTATGGAGGGTCTGACAATGGATATTATGTGCAGGAGAGGAGTGTGAAGTGTATTATAACCAGCAGTATTGATTGTATTCCTGCTGCTGTGTGATGGAAAATTAAGGCTTTTCTTTTTCTACCCACTTCTGTCCTCACTTCTGTTGCACATTGCTGCCAGCTTTGCTACATTAATACTGAAAATGTAACACCATATCTTAAGGTATGAGCTTCATAACTGATTATTGCAAACTGTAGCGATGTTCGATATTTAGGAAACGCCAAGTTTTTTCGTTTTTTTTACTTCTTGTATTAATGCATGTCCGTGCAAGGCAGGCAGCTCATTTTAATCAGAAAAGCAATGTTAATGCTTAATGGTAATGTTAAAGCTAATGCTTCTGTATTTTACTTTTTTTTTTTTGTTTTGTTTTTTTATTTGTAAACTATTCTAGGGTGCTTGAAGAGCAATATGGAATACATTGCAACATGACACTGCTGTTCTCTTTTGCTCAGGCTGTGGCCTGTGCCGAGGCTGGTGTTACACTCATATCTCCATTTGTGGGCAGAATATTAGACTGGCATGTAGCCAACTCTAACAAGAAGAGTTTTGAACCACATGAAGACCCAGGTATGTTTAATCACAAACTTAAAATGAGTAAAATTTTGTGACTACAGTCCCTAGATACTATAATGCTCCTGTACTTAATGTGTTTTTAAAGGGTGCGTTCACCTTTACTGACTTTTGCAACAAAGTCCCCTGCATTATTGTCCTCAAAACCTGAACATGCAGTGCTCCTTTTTGTAAAAAAACACCTAATTTCATTACCCTCCCCTTTCTTTTCTGCAGTTTACAGGACTGAGAGGGGAGTTCAGTGAAAAGAGCCAATGGGAAAGTAAGCATTCTTTTACAAAAGTTGCATTGCATGTTGTGTACTGAGGAAATGGGAGAGCAGTGGGAGGTTTTTTGCAAAAGTCAGTAAAGGTGAACTAACTCTTCAAATTACCTTAAAGTGGCTGTAAAGGTAAAGGTAAAAGGTGTGTGGGCTTTGTTTTTTTTTGTTTTGTTTTTTTTTCTCCCTGAATGCAATCTGTTCATCTGTGCAAAAGCACCCTATAGACCATTGTGCTCTGTATGGAGATATTCCCATGGCTAGGACATGAAAGATGTCTTGGAAGAGTGCATAACAGATTTCACATTTACGCAGTTTTTAAAAGCAAGACTTTGCACTGAGACATTGATGAGGAAATAGTGCTTGTAATGGGGATTCCTGTGGTCCGACTGAAGGACTTGTCAGTTTGTCTCTAGTTACTCAGTGTTTCACTGAGCTTCTTGCCTTTCTGTATTTGCAGATTTATCCTCTAGCTCATGGCCTCAACGTACAGGCCTTTCGCGTAGTATAGGTCAGCAACCAGACTGGGTTTTGTAGCTTTCCTTCAAGCAGTATTAAACCCAAAAGCAGACATTTTTTTATCTGCAGCTTAACCACCTCCTGTCCGGCCGTTGTATATAAACGGCCAGACGGTGGCAGTGCAGGGGCGGGTGACCATTTATAAACTGCCTCCCCGCACCCTGCTTGTGCGCGCTCCCTGGGAGCACGCATCACTACAATCTGGTGCCCGCTGTGTCCTCCGGACAGTGGAACACCGATCATCAGACGGGACCTCTGTACGAGGTCCCGATCATGTGATCACTTATTGGCCAATCCATCACATGCAAAGTAGTAAGCAAGATGTCACTTGTGACATCATTGCTTACTACGTGTGAAATCTGTGAATGATCACAGAGGTCACATGGTACAAGTGGTACCACTTGTACCAGTGGTGATCACAGAGGTTACATGGTACAAGGCTATTCACAATAGCCTTGTACCATGTGACAAGCTGTGACCAATCACAGCTCACTCAGTAGTTCTCAATGGCTGCAAGAATGCAGCTAGAGAGAGAAATAATTGCTTTTACATCCTTTATGGGTGTAAAAGCAATCAGTGTAAAAAAAAAAAAAAAAAAAATCTTCATCACCCCCCACAAGTAGTAGTGTCACCATGGTGACACTGTACTGCTAGGGTGATAGTATGTAAAAAAAAAAAAATATATTAAAAAATTTAAAAAATGCAAAAAAAAATGTTTAAAAATTATAATTTTGGTTATAAACTAATTTGGGTTATTTTTATTTTACTAAAAATTATAACGGAATAATTTTGGCCAAGATTTATGATGAAATACTATTTATTTGCAAAACTGTTTAAGAAAAACCCTTTTTTTTTTAATTTTTGGACATTTTAATTTACATAGCAAAAAAAATAAAAATCCCAGTGGTGAATAAATACCACCAAAATAAAGCTTTATCTGTCTCAAAAAAATGCTACAAAATTCATATGGGTACAGTGTTGCATGGCTGCGCAATTGTCATTCAAAGTGTGATAGCACTGAAAGCTGAAAATTGGCCTGGACAGGAAGGGGGTAAAAGTGTCCGGACTGAAAGTGGTTAATAGATTCTTGAATGTGATGGCTGCATTAGTTTTTCTTTAGGCTTTCTTTCCTATGTTTTTACTTGGTGATCCTGTCAGTACGTCTGTTTTTCAACAGAGCAAGTAGTTACAGGGATGAGGCAATCCATATACTACTGACTGGGGTGCTTACAATGATCAGTTTTGTATTCATGTAAAACAGTTTTAATATCTCTTTGTTTACCCTATTCGTACTATATGCCCAGTAAAGGGCATGTTATTTGTCATATTGCAAGTCAAAGTAGAGAATTGGCTGGAGAACGATCACTTTGATGCAGTTGGCTAGTTTTATCATGTATGGCTACATGTGTGTACCAAGAATCTGTTTTTTTTTTTTTTTTTGTTTTTTTTTTAGTGCTTTCATGAGTGTATAAGGACCTGGTAATGCTGGTGTTGTGTGTCCTTACTTTATGGTGCCATTCATTTTAGTGGCAGCACTAAGGGAACACACACGAATGTGTTGCAGCTTGCTATATCACATAGTAATGCACTATCTTGCCTTGTGGTATCCTGAGTTGTAATGCTGCATGTCTGTCTTTTCTGGTGCACTGGCAGGCCATTTCGCACAGTGCATCAGAATGGAAGGATATGAATGGGCCCAAAGTTACTTTCGTGGTAAAATGAATGTATATTCAACTTCTATACAACTTCAATCCGTATGCAGGTGTGAAGAGCGTTACCAAGATTTACAACTACTACAAGAAGTTTGGCTACAAAACCATTGTGATGGGAGCCTCATTCCGCAACACCGGGGAGATTAAAGCACTGACTGGATGTGATTATCTCACCATTTCCCCCAAACTGCTGGGAGAGCTCAGCAAAGACTTCTCCAAGCTCACGCCAACACTCACTGTTAAAGAAGGTACTATAGCAGACTTTAAAAAAAAAAAAAAAGTGTGGTTCCTCTAAGCTAAATTCACTTCAGGCATAAACCAAGAACAAGCTTAAAAATATATTGCTATCTATCAATCCTGAGATGTGGTGGCTACATTAGTGTTTCATTTTTTGTTTGTCTAAGAACATTTTCAGCAAGTACAGAAAATAACATGTTGATCTTGCCAGAAAGGCTGTGTCCTTGTCACTTCTATGAGCTCAACAGAAAACACAATTTCCTTATCCATTGTAAACTACTGGTCCCATCAGTCCACAATGTGACATAGACATGATTTGAAACAGATCAGACTATGTGGCAGGCATAGCTTTCCCCAGAGATACAATAGAGAAATGAATGTAGCCACCCAGGAACAAGATGTGTGCTTACCACCAGGTGAAAATAAAAGGAGGGGGAACCTGAAAATAAGAATATGCAGCCATCACATCTAAGGATGTATAAGCTGTAGTACATTACATTTTTGGATTCCTAAAGTCTTTAAAGCAGTACATGTCCAGCATTTCACTTTCTGGAAATGCTAGTTGCCAGTTATGTTGATTCTGTCTTTAGTTAATTTTTAGACCTGTTGTGACCACTGTGCAGTGGACTTGCAGTTTGGTCTGGGGCACAGCAGGCTCCACAGCAAGTGTAAGCAGGTCCCCTAATTGCTGAAACCTCCTGCTGATAGCTGCAGTCCAATACTAAGCCCAGGAGCTGAATTGAACAGTTCCTGAGCTCCTTTGCTCTGTTGGAGTGCTGGTAGCAGGCACGCTAAACAGGGTGCGCACTGCTTACAGAGGTAATAATGTGGCATCAGACATTGCAGTAGTCACAATTAGTACAGGGGCTTAGGCAGAGCTAATGACCCTCTATCCTGCTTTCCCTTCTTCAGTAGATCAATGCCATAGTGAGCTATTGCTGGCTGTTTACTCTACTTTTTGGTACTCAGTGGCCGAATAGCTGCTGAAATCAGCTGCTACAGTAGAAATTGGTCGATTTCCAGCCTGTGTATACAGCTGCCTGTCTGACAGAAGCTGGTCGGAAACCAGCATTTGATTGGCATTTGATCAGCGCCAGCAGTCAATGGCTGCAAGCTCTAATTAGTATGTTCCCTGTAAGGACAGCAGGGAAGATTGCTGACTTAACACCACTTGTGTTAGTACAGTGATCTGTCAGGTTTTTTTTTTTCAGTTTTGCCTGCTGAGTTGAGCAGCAAAAAACTTGGTGTGTACCAGACTTTAGAAGGGATTTGTTGCTTCAGGGCTGCATATAGGGCAGCTGGATCAGGTGTCCACTAACCAGATTCAGCCTTCCTGTATGAGAAACTGGTAAATGACTAAAAAACACATTTCTGATAGTTTATTAAATTTCAGAATTTTAATGATCGCAAATCTGTGAATGTTACTGTCATTCGAATTTGTGTATCTGCAAACCCAACCTGCTCTTAATATTTTATTTAGCATTTTTCACAAATGGATAATTTTCTGGGTTTGCAGAGACATAATGTAGTAATAGCAATGTATAGATGCAGACTGGCCCTATGTTATTGTGTGGCCTCCTATACTTAGTCAGTTAACCATTACTGTCTGACACTGACCTTCAACAAGTGCGCAGTTTAGAAGCTCTGATTTCACTTGCTGTATGTTCTCCAGGTCAGTGACTCCGTATTGAACAGAAAATTACTATGACATACACATTTATTACCATTTTCAGAATTTAGGAACATCAGCTTTATACTACATGAACAACGTTATGGGATTGTAACCACCGGATGGTTCCGTGGGTACAGTTAAGGCAATCTATCCCTGGTCCTACAACACAGAGGATAATTAGGATGTATAGTATGGACTTTATAGGCTCATAATCTCTACACACCAATTGTTACAATAACAGTAATGTTAACAAAATCATTAGTCACAGATTACTAAAAAGCTTATGCACTCATTGTGTAGCAAGGTGTGCCCCCCCAAATCAGCAGGGGCACCTAGGCATTAGCTAAAAAATGTGTAGTTATTGCATAAACATAAATTAACTGACCCAAAATTGTTTCAAATTCATCCAACTGTGGGGGTTCCACCTTTCACAGATTTGCTCTACATGTTTCGTGACTTGGGTTACTTCAGCAGTTTTTAGTGCACCTGTGTGAGAGAAAACCAGTCCAGCCATCAATGGTCCCGGCAATGCACACCATGCACGGTTACTGTGCACCTGTGGCACAGAGGGGACCCGCACAGCTGGCCCTCTATAGGTCTACTCACACAGTGGCAGTTGTACCCAGAAGTACATTCTGCCACCCCATGCATAGTGGCTACAAATACCACAACCATGGCCCACTGGGCACACATCCACAGGTACCAAGACTACTGCCAGCCATGCAGGAATCGACACCACCCCGGGAACAAAAACACGCATAAAATATAATCAACCAACAATATACTAGAGATGGCATTTCCATATATTATAGATGAGACACATTACATTCTCATTATGAACTTAAAACTATTTATGAACATATATACCATAGAGAACAGCATCCCAATCATTCTAATCACTAGCCCATACAGATAGTAAATAAAAATTAGTTTTCAGAGATTGTAAACGATACATAGCAATGAGAGCCTACATAGAATATTAAGATCTAGCACAAACTCATTTGCTAGCTATATCAAAGTGAAAAATGTTCTAGCAATTGTCTTGTTATAAGAAAGGTTTATAGGATAGCATTTCATTAATCCCAGGGGGTTGTGTGGCATTTAAACATTCAATCCAGAGAGTTTCCTTACATAGGATTCTCCTGTCCTAATTGCCACCACAAGGATCTTTTTAAATTCCAACAAAATGTTACACAAGTGTCAAATTTATAATAGACCCAGGTGGCAGCAGACTGGGGGTAAGTATTTTAGTATTGGATGAGTAATATATATGTTAGTGCACCCTCTGTCTGAATGGACAAATGATCTTGCCTACATAATATGCTCCGTAAACAACCCCTTGGGGTACCACAATCAGCGTGGAACGATGGAATAAACTTTTCACCATAAGGTAACCAAAATCACATCTCAAGGATCCATGGACAGTAAGAACACTGCCCACATGTGTAGACACCTCTCGGTTGAACCGAAGTTTCATCATGGGTGTATAGTAGCTGACTGTTTATCTTTTATGGATGTTGCTTTTCTAAATACTATCTTTTGGGAGTCTTTAATATTAGAAATTCCGGTGGCCGAAACGTTTCGGCCAAAAACACCCCTTTCGGCTGTCGGCCGAAATGAAAAATAAAAAAAGCACTGATACAAGTGCTCAAAAAACCCCCGCCCTTAAAGCTGCTTGCCATCGCCTGCCTGCTGCCGCTCGGTGATTCAGTCTTACCTGAGAAACCATCGATCCAGCGATGGGCATAGAGATGAGAAGGAAACATGGCCGCCACACATCTCTATGCCCTTGGAGGACTTGAGCAATGTCGCTTCCGGTTCCGGGCATTTTTTTTTTTTTTTTTTTTTTAAAGCACTAGATCAATGCTCTTTTTGATCTAATGCTTTACATTGCAGAGGAGAGATGTGGGGTCTTATTGACCCCACATCTCTCCATAAAGAGGACCTGTCACTAATTATTTCTTTTACAAGGGATGCATGCATTTCTTGTGATAAGAAAAAAAGTGATTACAATTTTTTTTTAACGGAACAGTGCAAAGAAAAAAAAAAAAACATTGAATACATTTTTTTTTAAAGTTTGAAGTGCACCCATCCCCCCATGCTCGCACATATGTAAATAGTGTTCAAACCACACACGTTAGGTATCGCCACGAACGTCGGAGCAAGAGCAATAATTCTCACAGTAGACCTCCTCTGTAACTTTACACTGCTAACCTGTAGAAATTTTTAAAGCATCACCCAGAGAGATTAAGTACTGCAGTTTCACGCCATTCCATGAGCGTGTGCAATTTTAAAGTGTGACATGTTTGGTATCTATTTACTTTCAGTAACATCCTTACATATTTTACAAAATAATTGGGGTATATATTTTTTTTTTTAATCAGTGTATTTTTTTCCAAAAAATATATATTCAGTTTTAAAAAACTGCTCGTTTTGGTTTTCAGCCAAGGGCATTTTGAATTTTTGGTTTCGGCACCCAAATTTTCATTTCTGTTCACCACAGTTTAATATATTTAGTTAGTATGGCCTTTTCTTGTAAGAGGTGCCAGTGTTGTAAGATAGCGCACAGTTCTTGACTTACTGAGAATTTTGTAATTAATTTCACTGATGTGCCGGTTATTAAAAAGATATATCAGGCCTGTGGAGTCTTTTCCCCGCCCAAGAGGGAAGCTATGTTTAGCATCTTTTCAAAAGCATTGTATTAAGTGTATGTTGTATGTATTCTCACACAGATGCACTACAAACTCCTGAAGAAGCGAGCGAAGTCGTAAAACATGTAGAGCAAATCTGTGGAAGGTGGTTTGAAACCATTTGGGGTCACCTATGTAATTGCATAATGCCTAGGTGCCTCTGCTGATTTGGGGGACATGCCTTGCTGCACACATGGAGTGCATAAGCTTTTTAATAATCTGTGACTATGATTTTGTTAATAAACATCACTGTTTTTTTTATTATATCAATTGGTGTAGAGTTTGTGCCTATAAAGTCTATACTATATATGCAAATTATCCTCTTCTCAGCTTTTTACTTGTGAAAGTTTCCTTAAACTGAATGCAGTAACACTTTTGATCAGATAAGGGAACCTTTTATTAGTATTTAGTTTACTCTGAAGGTAAGGTGATAGGCTTACTTGCCCTGTATTCAGTAATTCTGCTGCATAATGCAGGTTCCTCAGCCCAATTGTTAACCTAAACGAAGGTCAGAAGGATTAATAGAAATGTAGTTGTTTACACTTTTTTCCTTGGAATGTTAGGCAGGCTCACAGGAACCATTGTAAATACCTACATTGAAATGTGTGATGTGCTGGGATGAGCATAGACAAGGTGTCATGTCTGTCTATGGAGCTCAGTACTGTGATGATCAATGTTGCAGCACTGCCATCTTGTGGCCAGAGTTGGATCTGCATTGCAAACGTGCGCGTAAAGTCCTCTATTATGAGTAATTTCTTCTCGTATGTTCAGTCAATGAAAGGTTGTAATAGGACTGAGGTGGGAAGAGAGGAACTGATTTGTAATATTTCTGTGTTTGTAAAGCTCAGGCCTGTAACCTGGAAAAGATTCACTTGCCTGAAAAGGATTTCCGTTGGCTGCACAATGAAGACCAGATGGCTGTAGAAAAGTTGTCGGATGGGATCAGAAAGTTCACTGAAGATGCTATAAAACTGGAAAAGAAGTTAAAGGTGTGTCTCCTGCAGTCTGTGTAGGGGCTCCTAAATGAGCTTTGATTGGTATGTGTTCCTACAGAGCTCATAGGCAGACTACCCCAATCTCTAATCACCTAAATGGGTGAGAATGGTTTCATGTCTGGCCAGCTTAAAGCCGAGCTTCAGAAACTTAACATGTTTTGTACAATCGTTAAAAAATTTCTTTAGGCAATAATGAAAGCACTGTATTTCTGCCTTCAATCTCCTGCATGACCGATATCAAAATGAGTTTATAGACTGTGACCCCGACAGGCTCTGTTTTGCATAGTGCTGCCACTCTAAGGGCCTGTGTCTATAGGCTTTTGTTAGCTCTAAAGCTGAACTCCAGCCACATTTCAGCAAGCCATTTCCTTACATTTTCATGTCTGGTTTTTCACCCCTCTGAGCTACAAAACTTGTCCCTTGTATTAGGGGCATTTAAAACTTTGTGCAACCAGACACAACTATATCCTCCTCATAGTACGCACTTACTGTGCGTGACATTCTTATTGTGCGTGAGTACAACTGCACAGCACCCATTCATGACCCACCCACAGCACTGGTTGGCAGCTTTACAGCACTGCCCACCGTGAGGAATCATGGGAAATGTAATTAGTTCTCTATTCCCCTCATCATGCACAGCCTGCCTAGCTGATGGTGTCACAAGTAGAATAAATGGGGAAAAGGGTATAGATAGGAAAGGTTTTAACTTTTTTTTTTTTTTTTTTTTGCATCTTAATTGGTACAGGTGCACAATAAAGGTCAAATAAGACAGGTTTAATGGAAGCCTATTGAGGCAGAGATATAGAAGTTTCTAGTGTGAGTTTATTGGTCGAGATGCAAGCTCCATGCTTAGCCTTTCTGAGCTACTTTGTAAATCACGGTTGTGGAACAGGCATGTTGCATGCATATGCTTGTTCTAGGTTAAGTACCTGCAAAACTGTAAATAAAGATAGCAGCCCCAGAGCTTTGACCTTTAAAAAATGAGCAATGCCACCTTCTGTACATCTGTTCTGTATAGTACAAGACATTGAGAGCGCAGGATTGTTTCGCAGGCCCATAGCATAGGTCTCTGGGTAAATATGCAGATGCTGGCAGCACATGTTGCAATTCTAGAAAGATTAACCACTTGTCCTCCTGAGGGTTTGCCCCCCTTCCTGACCAGGCCATTTTTTGCATTGTGGTGCTACGTTACTTTAATTGCGCGGTCATGCAACGCTGCACTCAAATTAAATTTGACCTTTTTCCCACGAATTGAGCTTTCTTTTGGTGGTATTTGATCGCATATGAGGTTTTTATTTTTTGCACTATAAAAAAAAAAAGTCCAATTTTGAAGTCCACTTTTTGCTATTAAACATGTCCAATAAAAAAAAAAATTTTAAAAATCAAATTTTGTCAAAAATTTACGCCAAAATGCATTATGCTATGTTTTTACTAAAAAAAAAAGGTGTAAATTAATTGGTTTACGTGAAAGTTATAGCATTTACAAATGACGGTATAGATACCGGAATTTTTTTTTTTCTACAAGTAATGGTGGCAGTCAGCGACTTATAGCGAGACTGCGGCAGACATTGACACTGGAGGGAACTGACTTGGTGTCACTGACAACCCCAGTGACACCAATAAAGTGATCAGTGCTAATAAAAAGCACGGACACTGTACTAATGGCACTGGGCAGGAAGGGGTTAACATGAGGGGCTATCAAAGGGTTAATTGTGTGCTGGGAGTGTTTTACATAGGGGGCGGTGTGTGTGTGCGCTTCACTGTAAGCACACTGCTCTGGATGGCTGTGCATGTGATTTTCCATAGGCACAATACTTTCATGTACTTCAATAGCAATGAAGATTGTTGGACATAGATACAGAGTAAAGTAAAGGAAGTTGAATTGTGATGTGCTAAATATTTTTTTTCTTTTCTTTTCAGGAGCAACTTGGAAACTAATCTATTTAATACTTTTATATACCAAATCACGGCATCCAGATCATAGCTCACCAATCCTCATACCGCTCCCGAAATTCTGTTAGTCTTACTCCTGTTTTTATCAACATTGTAACATTGCCATTTTGCATAATGTACATTTCCTTTTTTGTATGACGACTCAACTTATGCACTGATTAAATCCTGCACCTGTCAAAGCTGCTGTGGTTAGTTTTGTATGGTCTTGTTTGATTCGCACCATTTGCAGAAATGCTTAAATTGCATTTGTGTTCACTAATTTCATAATGTGCATTGCAGCATAGAAAAGAATGTCTCGTAGTTGTATACCCATTGAATCAGTTTACTGAAGGAGGTAGGAATGTTCACACACTAAATTTATCCAATATGTGAAAAGCAAGGCCCAGTTTACTTATTTCCTTTGCACATGATTGGACAAGTGAAGTGAAACGTTCTCAACTAAATTAGCCTCATTGAATTAAACAGAATGTCTCCATGTGAACAAACGAAGGGCTTGTTCACACTGTGCAGTTACTGGCAGTTTTGCACACCAGTTCAAGCTTTTGCTGACTCTGCTTGCTAAAGAAGGTTCTTTAGGAGGGTAAGATGCTGGCAACCCCTACCCCCCCCCCCCCCCTTCCTCCACTGTACACCATCCCCTATGTTCTCTGCAGGACAAGGTGGTGGAAAGAACTGTGGAGCACAGCGAAAGCACATGTGTCCAACACATCCTAGAGCATTGGTCTCTAAACTGACCTGAGGGCCAAATGCAGCACTTTGCTAGCCTTTATCTGGCACTTTGGGCAATATTGCTCCCACTGACACAAACAAGCTTCATAATTCCACCCACTGATACCAATGATGGGGCACTATGCCTCCCACTGACTTATACCAATGATGGGGCACTATGCCTCCCACTGACACCAATGATGGGGCACTATGCCTCCCACTGATACCAATGATGGGGCACTATGCCTCCCACTGACCAATACCAATGATGGGGCACTATGCCTCCCACTGACACCAATGATGGGGCACTATGCCCCACTCCCACTGTGACACCAATGATGGGGCACCATGATACCTCCCACTGATACCAATGATGGGGCACCATTCCTCCCACTGATACCAATGATGGGGCACCATTCCTCCCACTGATACCAATGATGGGGCACCCCATGATCCTCCCACTGATACCAATGATGGGGCACCGTGTCCCACTGATACCAATGATGGGGGGCGCCGTGTCTCCCACTGATACTGTGTCTCCCACTGATACCAATGACGGGGCGCCGTGTCTCCCACTGATACCAATGACGGGGCGCCTCCCACTGATACCAATGATGGGGCGCCTGTGCCTCCCACTGATACCAATGACGGGGGCACTGTGCCTCCCACTGATACCAATGATGGGGCACCGTGCCTCCCACTGATACCAATGATGGGGCCGTGCCTCCCACTGATACCAATGATGGGGCACTGTGCCTCCCCCACTTATACCAATGACGGGGCGCCTGTGCCTCCCACTGATACCAATGACGGGGCACTGTGCCTCCCACTGATACCAATGACGGGGCGCCGTGCCTCCCACTGATACCAATGACGGGGCACCGTGCCTCCCACTGATACCAATGACGGGGCACTGTGCCTCCCACTGATACCAATGACGGGGCGCCGTGCCTCCCACTGATACCAATGACGGGGCACCGTGCCTCCCACTGATACCAATGACGGGGGCACTGCCTCCCACTGTGCCTCCCACTGATACCAATGACGGGGCACTGTGCCTCCCCGTGCCTCCCACTGATACCAATGACGGGGCACTGTGCCTCCCACTGATACCAATGACGGGGCACTGTGCCTCCCACTGATACCAATGACGGGGCACTGTGCCTCCCACTGATACCAATGACGGGGCCTCCCACTGTGCCTCCCACTGATACCAATGACGGGGCACTGTGCCTCCCACTGATACCAATGACTGGGCACTATGCCTCCCCATACTGATCACTGGTGCCTTGTAACTGACCGCCAACCCGGAGGCATTGTTCTCACTTATGCTGGGCCCTGGACATTTCTACACTCACTGGCCACATTATGGCCTGCCCTAAAGTCTGAAGGAGAGTAAACTGGCCCTTTGAAAAGTTGAGACCCCTGCCCTAGAGTGTGCCAGGTGCTCTAGATCTTTTCAGTTTAGGTATTCAATGCAGGGGAGTTTGGTTCAGGTCGCTGGACAAGTGAGTATTGCTTTGTAGTGCTTTGCTTTAATCAAAAAGGTGACGGAGTTGCTCTTTACAGCATTTTCATATCCATCACTTTCAGCCAGGAGCTGCTATGTTTGAGAAGCTGTACTTGTTTTACACTGATTTACATCTATGCTGTGAGTAGCCTGTGTAATTTTATCTGCTATTCAGAACACAAGTGAAAGGACCACACCCTTTCTCATTGTCTTCTAGCTCATTTAGACCCCAATATATTTTCTGTTTTGAAATGGGCAGTAAATGAATAAGTGCTGGACTTACGATATGTCAGATACACCCTGTATTCAAGCAAATGTTTGGATAGCTTCTACCACTGATCCCACCAAAGTAAAACTAGATGGTTGGTGATCATTTAGTTTTAGTACTTGAAACCCCTGATCTGAAATAAATATGCACATTAGGGTCAGTGTTTCAAAGTATTGGATCAACATGACAAGTATGATAACCAGGCAGCTATCATTTTCAGGAAAATTTCAGATTTTTATTTGGTAAAAAGACTTTTGTATAAATATAAGATTGATTTATGAACTTCAATCATAACACCAGAAAATATGTTGCTCTTGACCAATCTGATGAAATGGATGCATTTGTTTTTCTTTAGTTTTTTTTTTTTTTTCCCTTTCACCAAATGCTGTCAGTAACACTTCCTGTCCTAAGGTGACAACCCTCCCATTACTGAATCTATGGAGGAGCAGTGTTGTCACCCTAGAAGTGTTAAAATTACAGAATACCACCTCTGCCCTGTAGCTTTGGGGAAGTTCTGTGGTTTGGAGGTGAAATGACCAGGGCTTATAACAAAGCTTTAGATAACACTGCCAATTGCATTGGACACTTTTTAAATAGATGTAGAAAAACCTGTTATTTTAACAGACCCAAAGAAGCCAAAAGAATTTGACAGGGTTTACATATGCTTAATAGATTTAAAAAGAAAAGACCAGGAAACATTTGCCTTCCACAAGAACAAGCTAAAGAGAATTGGATGGAATGAAAAATTAAAGTAGAAGGGCTTAGCTCACATCCTATTTTTTTTTTTTTTTCCATCAGCACATTTTAAATTGCTTGCGGTGTTGCTCAGAGCCCTTTGTCAACATTGGTTTATGGCAGTGCCAATATTTAGGTTAACAAAAATCAAGCTAAGCAAGAAAATGCTTCCTGCATCCTTAGAACCCTAAACCTGCCTTTGATCAGTTGGAACAGAACACTAGCGTTTGGTATGATTGATGCCAAACTAGTTCATTTGGGAATCGATTGCAAGATACCATCTGAGACACTCCATACTCAAATGGCTGTATCTGTTGTCCCCTGCAGTCAGCATCTTGCTGAACCAGACGAGGCAACTGACTTTCCTATCCACATTGATGGTCTAAAATCTGACATTATATTGGGCTGCAGAGAAGTCTTGAATGATTCAAACTACTTGTATATGGACTTAATATATGCCCCCCTCCAAAAAAATAAAAAACATTTTGCTGCATGTCTTTTCTCAGAAGTCTTCACAGTGTTTGAAGTGAAATTACTGACATTTGTTGAGATTGTTAAAGGAACGTATAATGGTTTTATATATATGAATTTTCTTAGGTTTATTTTTACAGCTGAGAATATTACAAAATGCCCAGTATGCACTAGTTGTACCAGTCTGCAAAGTGGCATGATTATATTCTATTTGGCAAACATATAACACATTTTGTAACTTGGTTCTCTTGCCACAGACTGGCTGTATAGAGGAAGATATTTGTGTAATTTGTGTGTTGAAAGTAATTTACACAATGCCCTTGCTGTAATAGTAAATGAAGAGCCCATGTATATTTAACAGATTTACTGAGACTGTGGCTTGACGGTATGCCCTGGGCTTTCCTAGGCCACTAATGAACAGCTCCAACACACCAGGACATGCCCTTCTAACTATGTGGCATTTCATATATACTGATCTCTGGTCCATTCAGGGCAAAATACCAAGTTTGCTTCAAAGCATGAACGCTAATAGGCACAGACTTTAAGCTTGCGCCTATCCGGTGAACCTACAAGTGTTAAATGAAAAGCCAGTAATTTCAGAATGGGGGAAGCGAGTAATCCTTCCCTAGTCATGGTGTCTGAACATTGTGATGTGGGGTCTTTAGCTCTGACTGTTTTTTTTTCGGGTCAAAACTTAGAAGTATTTTGTGAGTGATGGGAGAGCACATGGAGGCCAAGTAAATATATGCTCACGTGCAAGCAAAGAATAGGTTTTAAAAACAAAAAATGAAACACAATTTTGATAGCTTTGTGACATTTATTCCATTGCAGTACAAGCAGACACAGCCTACATGGGGATGACAACTCTGCTCTGAATTTAGGTTCAGTGCAGCATTGTTGCCACACAATCACAGAAAGCTGCATTAGGTGGACTTCACTGGCAGAATTAACAGGTATTTGCGGATCTTTGCAGGGGGACTGAGCTTCACCATACATGTTACAATCTGTACAATGAACTTTACATCTACCAAAACTATCCAATTAGATGGTCCTTGCACCAATACTTGGTTTATCTAAAGAAGCTTGTACAGTCAGATTGTAAAATGAGTGGTGAGCTTTAGATTTTCCAAAACCTATGCAATTGAAGATGAACCTAAACAATCCATGCAGTAAGTATCAAATCAGACTGCATAGTTAATGGTTGCTCTAAAAGATTGTAATCATGTATTGTCTGTCTTTGACATATGGGAAACTTTTTTTTATTATCCTACTTACCTAGGTGGATTCAGTATTGGTCCCCTGGCGGCTCTAAGGGTGAGAATGTGATAATCACCAGACCACTTGGTTCTCACCACCGCTGCTCTGCAAACACAACTGCCCCCCTTCCTTCCTGAGTTCACTGGAGTGCTGGGCTGTGAAGGGGGCAGAAGCAGCTGGCTCAGGCTCTCAGCTGCTTGCTGAGAGGCCAAGCTAGGTGTGGTTCCAGACTCTGGGGTGAACCCTGACCATATATTTATTTATTACAGGTACTTATATAGTGCTGTCAATGTATGCAGCGCTTTACATATATATTGTGCATTCACATCCATCCCTAACCCTCAAGGGGCGTACAATCTAAAGTCCCTAACTTTCATACATACACATACTAGGGCCGATTTGGACAGGATCCAATTAACCTACCAGCAGTCTTTGGAGTGTGGGAGGAAACCAGAGTTCACTAGAGGAAACCCATGCAGGCACAGGGAGAACATGTAAACTCCTGGCATATAGTCGTGATCCTTCCCCAACCTGGACAGTCTCTGTGACATCAGCCAACAGCAGGCTGTGCAGGAGCTGAAGATGGCTCATAGGAGTGCAGAATCAACTGCACTCCTCTGATCCATAGAAGTACAGCCAAAAGAGCTTTGGTTATACTACTTTTATGTTTTGCTGCACATTTTCGAATAGGTCTTATTTACACTACTTTTCTAATCCGTTAGCCCAACAGGTTGATCAGCCACATTCAGTACACACCTTGTGGTGATTGAAAAAAAAAAAAAAACAAGACTAAGTTCCATTATTAAAACATTACTGAAAATATGAAAGCTGGAATATGGGTAATATATGAGCTATAATTTTAATGAATATAACCACAAGTTGTACCAATTTACTTCAGATGTGTAACTTCATACATTATTCATGCTTCCATTATGCAAGTCTGGGAATATGCGAGCATCTCACAGGACATAATTGTAATAGAATGAATCTACTGCAAGATCTACTCCCCCCTCGTGGAGAGAGCCTAATGCCAACCAATACCCCCCACCTGAGAGCCTTCCACTACCATCATCCTCCATACACTGGGTCAGCAGAAGGCACATGCATGTGCATGTTGCTCTGCCCACTCATAGTACATGTACTGTAGACGGGTGGCAAGCAGTTAAAAAATAAAAGGTATTTATAATTAAGTACTATACATATAGTATACGTTTTGTCTTTCATTTCTATTTTAAACTGAATGAGTTGTTTTGCAAGGTGAGGGTTTACATATACTTTAACACAGACCCATGAGGCATAGTGAGTGTGTGAAATCGTTTGTCAATGTGAGAGACCCAACCGGGACAGGGGCTTTTGGAGTGGACTATGGGCTAGCTTTCTAACCACCATGCATTGGACCCAAATGGTTGGACACTTCAGGATGCACATGGAGATCTGTGCAGTCAGCCACCTGTCATTGAGTTCAACAGGCTGTCTACACGGCTAACCTGTGCATTCTGCAGGGGTGAAGATAGCCCCTTCATGCAGATGTACAGATTAGTACGCACGTGCGAGTGAGCCCTTCATGTTTGGTAGGAATATGAAGAGTACTCTTTTATGTCTTGGAGAAGGTGTTTGGGAAAAGAGTTTGGCTAGATATAGCTCAATTTTCTCTCATTCTGACCATGGGCTGAATGAGAGAAAATCAACCAATTTACCCATCCACACTACAGCATGCATGGAGGAACCTCCCCTGCTGCCTATTGGGTTAACACAAACATGGATAGCATGCGGTCACTGATAATTTTCTACCAGGCTCAGATTTTTAAATCAACTTTTTTCCAGCTGGGTAGTTCTTTCAGGGCCACCCATGGCCCAAATTTCTTCTGATTTAGCAGGAATTGGACAAAATTCAAGCCATGTAGCGAGCCTTAATTGTAGGTGGTTAGCAGCTGGCCTCTTTCACCCTGCACAATACCCTAAGGTGATTGTGTCTGTAAGATAATGGTTCAGTTAGGACTTGCGGCGCAGTATATATAATGTCATGCTCAAAAGTGACAAAAAACCAACTCCTTAACAATGGTGAGTGCAGAAAGCGAATGAGCAATGACATCACCAACTATATGTATATTAGTTCCTTAATACAAATTTGTGTAGAGATGTTGGTCTTTGGGGACAGTGCATCATAAAAGGGGGTGGGCTTCATTACCATGCCATTTACCATGCATCATTTCCAGCCCGATGGAACTCTGTATTGTCTTGAGTAAAGAATAATGAGATTTTACAATGTAGACATGATTCAATTAACCACTTCCTGTCTGTCGTATAGCAGAAATACTGCTACAGGGTGACACGGGTGTGCAAAATCACGTATATATACGTGATTTAGCATTTCTGGGTAGGGGGAGCATGCGTTCTACCCGTGCCGCCATTTGCGGCCACAGCTGTCAGTCACCAGACCCCAGATATTAATTACTTACCGGAGCCCGGTCATTTCCACCATTCACTGATGGGGAGGAGGACTGTTTTGTTTACTAATAGTCCTCCTCCCTGTCAGCTCCGGCACACTGCTCTGAGCAGTGTGATTACAGTGAAGCACAGACATCCCCCCCCTAGTAAAACACTCCCAGCACACAGTTAACACTTTGATAACCACCTCATTGTTGTTTTTTTTTAGCACTGATCACTATATTGGTGTCACTGGGGATGTCAGTGACACCAAGTCAGTTCCCCTCCGGTTTCAGAATATCCACCGCAGTCCCACTATAAGTCGCTGATCTCCGCCATTACTAGTAAAAGTAAAAAAAAAAATCCCAGTATCTATACCGATAACTTTCACATAAACCAATTAATTTACATGTATTTGGATTTCTTTTTTAGCAAAGTCATGTAGCAGAATACATTTTGGTGTAAATTTAGGACGAAATTTGATTTTTCTATTTTTTTTACATGTTTAATCACGAAGTCAAAAATATTGTTTTATTTCTCAGAATTGTAGGTCTTTTTATTTTATAGCAAAACAAAAAAAAATGCACAGGTGATCAAATACCACCAAAAAAAAGCAAAATTCATGAGAAAAAAAGGACGTAAATTTCATTTGGGTGCAGCACTACATGACCATGCAATTGTCAGTTAAAGTAATGTAGCACCATAACACAAATGGCCTGGTCAGGAAGGGGGGTAAATACTCAGGAGGGCAAGTGGTTAAGTAAAACATTTTCATTTTTGACAGCAAATAAATGAAGATTTGGTCAATCAACAAATCATGTGTAACACAAAATCCTTTTTTGTAAATTGCCTTACACTCGATTGGGTATTCAAAGTGAATCCTGTTCAAAGACAACACAACTTGCCTATTTTCAAGGAAATTGATTACACTTTATTTCTTTAGTAAATCAACACTGGAACTGGAAAAAGTACAGAGAAGGGCAACCAAACTGATAAGAGGCAAGGAGGAGCTCAGCTATGAGGAAAGATTAGAGGAACTGAATTTATTCTCTCTTGAGAAGAGGAGATTAAGGGGGGATATGATCAACATGTATAACTACATTAGTGGTTCATATAGTGAACTCTGTGTAGAGCTATTCACCCTGAGGTCATCACAGAGGACAAGGAGGCACTCTTTATGTCTGGAGAAAAAGAAATTTAATCTCCAAACATGGAAAAGTTTCTTCACAGTAAGAGCTGTGAGAATGTGGAATAGAGTCCCTCAAGAGTTGGTTCTGGGCAGCTCAGTGGATTGCTTTAAAAAAGGCCTGGATTCTTTCCTAGATACACAGAATATAACTGGATACTAATATTTATAGGTAAAGTTGATCCAGGGAATATCCGATTGCCTCTCAGGGGATCAGGAAGGAATTCTTTCCCCTGCAGGAGCAAATTGGATTATACTTTGCGGGGGGGGGGGGGGGTTGCCTTCCTCTGGATCAACTGTGGGTGTAGGACTATAACTTTTTTTTTTTTTTAATGGTTGAACTGGATGGACTTTTGTCTTTATTCAGCCAGACTAACTATGTAACACAACCAAACAAGAAAAAGGCACCTAATATGACACGTCTATATATGTCAAATTGATATCTCTGTCTCACTCATAATTAGTGTGGATTTATGAACCCAATATACCTAACAAAAAATAGCAGTGTAACAGATGCAGTACTGTTCAAAGTGGTTACTTGAAAATCCAAGCAGAGTAATATTATTATACAGTATTTATAAAGCGCCAATAGTTCGCTCAGCGCTGTACATTACAAAGGGGGACAGAACAATACCAATACAATGCAAAACATGAGGGTATCGAGGGCCCTGCTCTTTCGAGCTTACAATCTAGGAGGGAGGGGATGGTGGCGCAGGAGGAGAAAGCTGTGGGGGATGGAGTGGTAGGAAGAGTGGAGGAGGTCGGCAAGTTAGCAGGGGGTTGGGTAGGATTCCCTGAAGAGGTGGGTTTTCAGGGTGCGCCTAAAGGAGAGGAGAGTAGGTGATAATCTGATGGGTTGGGGCAGGGAGTTCCAGAGGATGGGTGACACCCTGGAGAAGTCCTGGAGGCGGGCGTGGGAGGAGGAGACCAGGGAACTAGAGAGAAAGGAGGTCTTGTGAGGAGCGGAGTGTGCGTGCTGGGCGGGGCGGTACTTGGATATTAGGTCAGTGATGTAGTTCGGGGCAGTATGGTGGACAGCTTTGTACGTCAGTGTTAGGATTTTGAATTTGATTCATTGTGCAATCAGAAGCCAGTGGAGGGATTGGCAGAGGGGGGTGGCGGAAACGGAGTGGTTGGAAAGGTGAATGAGTCTGGCAGCCGTATTCAGGATCAACTGAAGCGTGGATAGCCAGCGGGGAGGCAGGCCAGTGAGGAGGGAGTTGCAGTAGTCGAGGTTTGATATGATGAGGGAGTGGATGAGCTGTTTAGTTGTTTCTGGGGTTAGGAACATGCGTATTTTGGCGATGTTGCGGAGGTGGAGTCTGCACGAGTTTGTTAAAGATTGGACTTGGGGCTGGAAGGATAGGTTGGAGTCCAGAATGACACCAAGTACTCTGGCCTGCGGGGCGGGTTTGATGGTGGGGTTGTTGGACGTGATGGAGAAGTCAATGGGGGGTGGTGTCCGGGCTGGGGGGAAGACAAGAAACTTGGTTTTGGAGAGGTTCAGTTTAAGGAAGTGGAGCAACATCCAGTCTGATATGTCGCTCAGTAGGTGTGTGATTCGGGCGGAGACCGAGGGGGTGAGGTGGGGGGTTGAGAGATAGATTTGTGTGTCGTCGGCATAGAGGTGGTAGTTGAAGCCATGAGAGTGTATGAGTTGGCCAAGGGAGGAGGTGTAGATGGAGAAGAGAAGGGGCCCGAGGACAGAGCCTTGAGGGACCCCAACAGAGAGGGGGAGTGAGTGAGGGGAGGTGGTAGCATTATAGGTAATGCTAAAAGAGCATTGTGACAGGTAGGATGAGAGCCAGAAGAGAGCAGAATCTCTGAGGCCAATGGAGTGTAGTTTTTTGAGGAGGAGGGGGTGGTCGACTGTGTCGAAGGCCGCAGAGAGGTCAAGGAGTAGGAGCACTGAATAGTGGCCATTAGCTTTGGCGGTTAGCAGGTCGTACAAAAAACTTTATTCGATCACATGGATCATATAGAGGTTAGACATTGATGTGGTAAACAGATAATAATAAAAGCACTTAAAAACATTCGGCGTCTCCAGATTTAGTGATTGTTCGGCAATTAAGGATCCACATAAGGCAATGGAGTTCCTAACTACTAGATCAGAGAATTTTCCATATTTTCCATACAAAGTCAGCATAGGGAGATCATTCTTCAAAAACCATTTTGGTATTAATCACAATAAGTCGAATGACTTCCTAAAATGGAAAAATCAAACAAGAAAGAGATCATAGTAGGTGGAACAAAAAATAAGGTAAATACACTGGGCAAGTACATTAGCCCAGTAAACACATAACTAGTGTATATTTTAATCATTACCTTCTCAAAAGCTTGACCAGAATTGAGGGATGGATATATGGCCTTCCTGGGTAACCACCCCAGATGAAAGTGTATCCACAGTAATAGATGATTCTAAAAGAGTGTATAGATGTAAAACATCAATAACAAAAACCGTGTACACGGGTACGTTCAGATACTGTCTGCTGTGTGCACCTTCATAGAAATACCAATTTGAACTCTTGACTGTCTTTTCATAAATATATTCCCCAAAACTATTCCTATACCAGAAGAACATGACTAAAAGTACCAAATGACAGGGGATAATTGATACTGGGCAAACTGATACTGCCAATGTTGCTCAAGTCTGTGGTTAACAGCAGATAACCACAACCATGCGCTCTTGTAGAACTAGTGACAGGCTTCTTGGGTGATGGCTAAAGTCTAGTGCACACAATCAGAAGAAATCGCTTGAAAAATACCGCTTTCTAAGCGATTGTACAATAATCTGATCTTTAGTACACAGCTTTGGTCTGAAATTGTTTGAAGGGAGAAGCACAAAAAATTTTCTAGTATGATGTTAGATCATATAATTTTCATTTTATCAGTACAGCTTTTGTCCAAAAATACAATACAAATATATTACATCACTTTCGATTTCTCTTTCTGTCGTACAAGAATTCTAGTATCTTTTGTAACCTCTTCACTTTCGATATGAGACTAGCATGCAAAAAAAGAAACAAATGATCATTCGTCCAATATTCTCATTATGTGTATGGGCCTAGCCAGTCTCCAGATCTCAACCCCATAGAAAACCTTTGGAGGGAGTTGAAAGTCCGTGTTGCCCAGCGACAGCCCCAAAACATCACTGCTCTAGAGGAGATCTGCATGGAGGAATGGGCCAACATACCAGCAACAGTGTGTGCCAACCTTGTGAAGACTTACAGGAAACGTTTGACCTCTGTCATTGCCAACAAAGGATATATAACAAAGTATTGAGATGAACTTTTCATATTGACCAAATACTTATTTTCCACCATCATTTGCAAATAAATTCTTTCCAAATCAGCCAATGTGATTGTCTGGATTTTTTTTCTCATTTTGTCTCTCATAGTTGAGGTCTACCTATGATGCCAAATACAGGCCTCTCTCATCTTTTTAAGTGGGAGAACTTGCACAATTGGTGGCTGACTAAATACTTTTTTGCCCCACTGTATATTCTTGGGCAAATTGGACAGGCTTGTTGGGTGGTGTCTAGTCGCTTACCTTTCCTCATAGAGACATAAACATAGGAGCGGGATCCTATTAAAAGCTAGTATGATTTATTACAAAATAAAAATCGAACTCTTATATACTGTATAGGTTTCTGCAATCCAGCATAAGCAGTTAGTAAATGGTTAAGTTAATTGGTGTAAGGAGACTGTATGAGGCGATGGTGAATGGTCACAATGCCGGCAGTAAGGGGGCCCGCTCTGGATGACAGATGCACCAAGAGCGGCACGCAACGCCGCCATTAGTCCTCGTGGCCACCTGCTCTATGTGCATGAAAAGGGGGCAGTAAAGTGTTTCTGTCTTTGTCAAAGGGTTTTTTAACATTCACAGTTTCTTGTGAGTGGATAGACTACAAGTACCATCAACCATTGTAGCTGATGCCTTGTAGTTCTCAAGGAACTATGAAGGCGATGGGGAGCACCTCACAGATAACTGATCTTCCTGCTCTCAAATAACAGCCTGCCTGTATAAGG